AATATGGAAAGATTGGTGTTGGCTTGTGGTGGAGAGGCTGTAAATTCGGTTGATGACCTAAACCCTGACTGCCTTGGCTGGGCTGGATTGGTCTATGAACATGTCCTTGGAGAAGAAAAGTATACATTTGTGGAAAATGTGAAAAATCCACACTCTTGTACAATCCTCATCAAAGGTACTTCTAGTTGCTCTTCTCCTTGAGTTTCAAGTCTTGTTTGTTGTGGTAATGAAAGAACCACAACTGATTATTGTTGCTATTACTACTATCAATTCTATCACTACCATTCAACAATCTAATTCAACATGCTGTTTTTGTAGGACCTAATGATCATACAATTGCTCAGATTAAGGATGCAGTTCGTGATGGACTAAGGGCAGTCAAAAATACCATTGAAGATGAAGCTGTTGTACTGGTATGGTATTGCCTTTTTGACGCTTGTGCAATTTATACTGAATCTTGTTATTTTATACAAGTAATCTAGGCTCAGAAAGTATTCTGTATCTCAAATTTGCTGACATTTTTTGACTAGGTTTTCTTTAGCTATGAGCCTATGAGCCACCCTAATGACTGTAAAATATGGGGGGGTGGGGGTGGGGGGGGGGTGTTCCTGTTTATTTGTGTTGAATTCCTGTAATGTGTATTGTAGACTTAATGCATAGCTCATTGAGGTATTATCTGCTACATAAGAATATGATTTTGATAAATAAATGAATGCAAGTAAATTTACTACTAATTCATTTTCCTTTATATCCCATTAAATCTAGACTTGAGAATGATGCACGTTACTACTTCTCAAATGTGGATCATTTAAGATAAGTGTTGAATGTAGTTTCCATTGCTGATAGGTGGATCAAAACACTGAAAAATAAATAATGCATTTATTTCTCTAAGTGAGGCACTTTTTTGGACGTATTGCAGGGTGCTGGGGCTTTTGAGGTTGCAGCCAGACAATACCTTTTTAATGAAGTGAGGAAAACTGTTCAAGGGGTATGTATATAAGTATCTCTGTTTATGCAAATTTATTTTTGTTTGTCCACGTCCGTGTAATATTTTTTAGCATGGAATTATTTTTGGTCTCATGGTTCCAAGTTTGAGCTTTTATCATAAAATCCTGATAGAGTTTCTGATGTCATAGCGTGCTCAACTGGGTGTGGAAGCTTTTGCTGATGCCCTCCTCGTGGTTCCAAAGACACTTGCTGAAAACTCTGGCCTGGACACACAAGATGTAATTATTGCGCTTACGGTATGCTATTTATTGCATTCGAGTTCTGATTTTCTTGATGTATCGACGGATTAAATTATTATGCCATTGTCTTGTAAAACTTGTTTATTCTCTCCAGGGAGAACATGACAAGGGAAATGTAGTAGGACTTAGCCAACACACTGGAGAACCTATTGACCCCAATATGGAGGGGATCTTTGACAATTACTCTGTAAAACGTCAAATCATCAACTCAGGGTACGTTGAAATTTTCCTTTTCGGTTTGCACTTGTCTACATGAATGAAGTGCTTTCTTGGCTAAGCTTTCAAGTCTTATAAGCAGTGGGTCTCAAGGAACGTGTGGTTAAAAAGTAGGTAAAAGATATGGGTTGTAGGGAATTTAGGGATAAAAATATAGTTTGACCTGCTTATATGCAATTATAAGCTTTGCCAAACATGCATGCAGCTTCTCCTTTTCCTTGTGGGAGAAGAGAGGGCAAGGGGGGTAGAAAAGTGAACCTCAAAGATATCAATAATTATCTGGAATTATCCGTGCTGGAGAGATGTTTTAGTAGTTGTTTACTTCTTTTTCTTTACGTTTTCCCCTAAAGAAATCTGTCTTTCTTTTGCAGCCCTGTAATTGCTTCGCAGCTGCTATTAGTGGATGAAGTTATCCGTGCTGGGCGTAACATGCGGAAGCCAAATTAACTCATAAACTCTCTTTTATACTTGTGCTTGATGAATGATTTCGTCCCCGGTATGCGACTTTCAACAGGGCAGTAATTCTGATGATTGGTTGGAGGGTTGTCGGTGTTAAATTTGTTTGCCCAAAGCTTCAGTGTAAAGATATTTAGTTGGGTGTTGTGCCCTAAAATTTATCTCCACTGAACTGCATTTGATATTTATCAATCACTTTAGCCTTTTACACAAGTGTGTAACGGTGTTGCTGTTTCAGCTATGTTTAGATATTGGTGTCGGTCAGTCTAAGAAGTTTGTTTCTCATTATACTTGGGAACTCATTGTTCTCCTAGGATCTATCTTCACCTAGTCTAGTTGTCTCAAGAATGTTAATGAAATCTATTATTCCAAATGACTGTTGTACTAATGTGGAGACGAGATTATACCATCTCGTTTGGAAACGGGATTGTATAATTGTACTATTTTGGAATTGGGATTGTACCTATATGATTAAAAGTGCATGATCTGTTGGAGGGATCTTAGCTGGGAGGTCATTCGGTTGAGAATGAAGAGGCAATTGTTGTAATATGTTGCCTAGCCTTGGGTATGTTATCTTGATAGAGATGTTCGGATATTTATTCTAGTATTTGGAACATGGAATATATGAAGTAGATTAAGAAATTGTAATGAATCCTGAAATTTGGAGTCGCAGTATTTTCGGGCATTTACATTTTGCCTGATTTTAGTTTAGCCCAATCTGTTATTTGATATTGCAGTTTAGCAGATGTGAGAATTTAGTGGGCTACCCTTTTGCTACTCATTTTCTTATTTCTTCTCGTTTAACTGGAATCTGATTACTTGCCTAAATCAAAATAATCAATTAGATCAACCCAAAAAAAAAAAGGTTTATTTGCTTATAAATGAACTCATCAGAATTTTTTAAAGTCAAGTCAAACAAGTTAAAAAGGAAAATTCATCAGAAACGCATGCCCTGCCGTGGCCTTTTTGCCAAGCCGCCACGCCTAGTTGGGCATTGACTTGTCAATGCTTGCGCGTCGCCACATATGTCCCTTGTGTATGGTAAACTCCGCCACGGCTAGCCACCTGTCGCCTCCCAGTTAGCTAGCCCATCCTCCCACCTGACGCGCATTATATAAACCCTCTCCCGGCCCGTCATAAACATTTAGGAGAAGAAAGCATTTCTGAATGAACAAGAGTCAACTGGTAAATTTTACTTTCAGTTTAATCTATATATATATATATATTTTTTCTTTTTTTTTTTTGCCATATTATTGTTAGGTTAGGTTAGATCTTTGAGTTTTAGCTTTCTTTGTGGATCTAAAACTCATTAATATGTTTTCCAGATTCGAAAATTCTGTCTGCTGAATTTTTGCGTAGATGAAGTAAAGAATTAGAAAATATAGTGTGAATCTGGAAATTTATTAATATTTGGTACAATTTATTTAATTTAGCTGCAATACTGTAGAAAGGGAGTGATGGAATGCGAAACGGATCAAATTAGTTTAAAATTGGTGTGATGAACTTTTAATTTAAGCGAGCTATTTTACTGGTCATACTGAAAATATTTGTTGGCGTTGTTGTTGGATAACTTATCGAGAACTTGAAGAAAAAGCACAAAAGTTTTAACATGGTTCACCAGTGTAATGGGACTTCTTTATAGATTAAAAATGGTATTCTTCACGGCTCTCGATGGGTTTCACAAGAAATTGTAAAATGGATTTGAAAGCCCTGAGTACACAGTTTTGAGACTAACACTATTTTCCCTCAATTAGCTTTCAATACTCGCACCTGAAGAATAGATCCTTTTTTTGCGTATCTGAAAAGAAAAAAAAAGAAAAAAAAAAAGCAACCCAACTGCTTCAATCCTTCCTTTTAAAACAGATTTTAAAATCAGTTGTAACCAAGTCCGCACGGCACTTCTCCACACTGTGCTGCTGTTATTCCGTTTGTGTAAAAACGGCACTTTACTTCTTTAAGTGAAGATGCGCATTTGGTGGAAGCATGTTACATTTTTATCCCTCAAACCCATGTGTGAGTTATGACATCCATTGCTTCCAAGCACCAGAGTTCTATTTTTATTATTTATTATTTTTCACATAAACACTGAAGAACTTTAATCCAGCTATAATCTTTTTGAGAGTAAGTGTGATATTGTTTGGTTAGTTGAATATTAAGCTACTAGTTTTAGTCAGTGTTTTCATAAATGATTCAGTTTTTGACTATATGACATCTATATGCATCCCGACACAGAAGAACATGTCGCGCGAGGAAAATGTATACATGGCCAAGCTATCTGAACAGGCTGAGCGGTATGAGGAGATGGTTGAATTTATGGAGAAAGTTGCAAAGAGTGCTGATACTGATGAGCTGACTCTGGAGGAACGAAATCTCCTTTCTGTGGCCTACAAGAATGTGATTGGTGCCAGGAGGGCTTCCTGGAGAATCATCTCATCCATTGAGCAGAAGGAAGAAAGCCGTGGGAATGAGGATCATGTCAAGGTTATTAAGGAATACAGGGCAAAGATTGAGGCTGAACTCAACAAAATCAGTAATGGGATTTTGAGCCTCCTAGATTCCCATCTCATTCCCTCAGCCTCCTCAGCAGAGTCCAAAGTGTTTTATTTGAAGATGAAGGGTGATTACCATAGGTATATGGCTGAGTTTAAGACTGGAGCTGAGAGGACGGAAGCTGCTGAGAGTACTTTGTCAGCTTACAAGTCTGCTCAAGTAAGTTGTCAATTTTGACCTGGAGGTTTTATTTGTTCAGAGATTCATGCATTATGAGTTATCTGATCTTTTTGGCCTTGTGTTGTGCAGGATATTGCATTAGCTGAATTGGGTCCCACACACCCGATCAGGCTCGGACTTGCACTTAACTTCTCTGTTTTCTATTACGAAATCCTTAACTCATCCGATCGCGCTTGCAACCTTGCCAAGCAGGTAGTTCAAGAATGTTCATACGAATTGCGTTGTTTTATTAGCCAACCACTTCTTTTTATCTTTTTGACCGCCATGAGTTACAATTTATATCCTATTCATATCTGCATCTTTGTTACTGACCACGAGGCATTATTTTTTTAGCACCTTTCAATATTTAGAAAGGCATAAATTAGTTATGGCATTTTGCCTCCTTGGGACGAAAGTATATGCCTCAAGGTTCTTTGAAGCGTATGCCTCAACATGAGCCAAATAATTAATTCAAAAACTATAGTAGATAAAATTATATCATAATAAACTGAAAATCTTCTAAAGTTACTTAATAGAACATTTCAACGAAACTAGAACCTCAATCTGCAACTATAAACGTAAAATGGATTAACGAAGTGGAAGTGGATATTTTGTCCAATTTCCTCGTGAATAATTAACATAGTAATCAATAATCACCAGTATTCTAAAAGGCATAAATCGTAAATCGTGGCTAGTCTTGGAGGCAAACCTCAAGTTTTTCGAACCTAGGTGTAAAATAACGTTACTTATTTTGTTATTATGTTAAGACTTAATCATTCTAAAAATTATTTGATAATTATAATAATATAATACCAAACATCTAAAATTAATAAATCCTATATTTAACTAATAATTACTACAATTAGTTAATTATACAAATTTTCAAAATTTTGAAATGCAAAAGCTAAGAGGCTGTTCTCTTTAGCGTTTTCGGGCTGTTTTCTGTTTTCAGTTTTCCAAAACGGTAAAAACGCATTCTCTTTCCCATTTTCGAAAATGAATTTTCGAAAACACAAAAAAATTGTGAAGAAAACGCAAAACGACATATTTGCCGTTTTGAACGTTTTCAAGCAAAAAATTGAAAACGGATGAAAACGCGGAAAACACCCAAATCAAAAAAATGGTTTGTGGAAGCAACCATCACCTCAGCTAAGAAACAACCACCTAGACCTCAGCTACGAAACAACAACATCAGCCACTTTCCGGCCACCTAGACCGTCGGATTCCACCACCAACAACCTCGCCTCACTCCCTTATATCACCTCCAATCATTCATCAGCCATGACACAACAAGAATCGATAGAAATTGGAAGCCAAAAAACCATTCCCGCGCGACCTGTTTCCGTTGGAAACATCACATCCGGCGACGCCCAAGGTAGTGCGACACCACTGGTCGAATGCTCTTCCCCAGATGACTCCAACCATGTCCCCAATCCACCCAAAACAACTCTTCAATGTTCAGATTTAATGCAGGAATATATTACAGTAGCAAAGTCCATGCAACGGGTTTCGATTTTTGCAAAACTCGGAGTCGTCCAGCCGTCCCATGATCTCGGACCACATGGGTTAGCCTCCCCTCCACCCGATGCACCTTGCCCAACCATGGGTCAAGGCCAATTTGAGATGGTGGTTGTGGATGATTTGAGGTTGTGGCGCCGACTGTAGCAATGATTGGGTTTGAATTAGGGGTTTC